TGTTGTAATATGTTGCATACATGTGTAATTTTTGTGTTGCTGATTTTCTTAGCAAATCATTATCATCGATCTGCTAATATTCTGCTTCAGGTGGAAGATGGAGCCGTTGATCCAGATGAAACTTTGCTTGGCTACCTTCGCAACAAGTGTATCCAGCGTGTCTGTTCAAATTTGGTTCAGAAAAAATCCATCGGATGTCGCATTCCACAAAAAATCTCGGACTGCTGTGTCCTGCCCATAGAAATATTATATGTAGGAATGTTATGTATCTCTATAAATTTCTATGGTCCTGCCTTATTTTCTTGTGTCAGTTGGAAATTGGTCACAACGAGTAAAGTTTACTGCAAAAAAAGCAATAAGCAGGAGGAAGGAACACTGGGGTGGAAGAGAATGGAAGAAAAGGAGGAGGAGGAGGAGCAAAAGAGAGGAGAATGTGGAGGAGGAAGGGAGATGGTAGAGGAGGAGGGAGGAGATTGGGTGTGAGGGAAGATGACGGAGGGGAAGAGGGAAGAGGTTACAGGAAAGTTGGACAGATGACGGAAATATGCGGAGGTAAGCGTCTAGACGGGGTGGGGTGGGGGGGGGGGAGTGTGATACGCTGTGATAGCGAAAGGAATGTGGAAGAGAAACTAGGGAGGAAAAGAGGGAGGGGATAGAGTCGGAGAGAGGGAAGACATAGTGTTGAGGAGAGAAAGGGAAGGTCGCTTATAATTCGCTTCTTCAATTCTTCTGCTACTCTTATCTCTGCTCCATCTTCCTTCCTCTTTGCTAGTAGAAAACCACAAAAGTTACTATTTGTTCCATAAGATATTTTCTGTGAAACGTTTGACAAGATGCTGATATTTCTTTCGATCCAGTAATTTGTTAATTTAGGCTGATTGAAGTTTTAATACTGTTACCTCCCCCCTTCTCTTCTCCGAATCACTTATTATATATATATATCTAATTTTATATATATATACTATAATATATGATACTATATATACAGAGGTTTTCCAGGAATGAAATCTGCAACAGAGGGGAGTCTGACCGCTCGCGAGCGCAGCGTAGCAAAAAGCTATGGGGGTCTGAGGGCATGCCCCCCTGAAAAATTATTGAGATCTTAGGATGCTCTGTGGTGGCAATTCGATGAAGGCATTTTGGACATGTTTTGACGTTGATTTGTTTTTTCTGATCTGGATGTGTCAATTTTATGTTTTGTTTTTAACTAGAGTTTTATGGATAACTATGGGATTTTCGACTTTTTGGAAGAAGTTGCATATAGATCGATTCATAATTTCTATGGTGTTTCACGGTTGTGTCGTCGAATGTAGAGCCTTTGTTACGATTGTTCAGGTTCCGATTTGTGGTGCTAGGGCACTGATTCTCATATTAATATAATCATTATATTATAGAGATTCATATCTATAGAGCTAGCATCAGATGCAATATTATAGAGATAGATTAATATTATATGACGATGAGTGTCGCTTAGGGACCGGAGATGACTCGACATTCAAACTGTTCAAAAAGAGCCTTTTGACTGATTGCGCCTTAGCAGTGAGGTGACGCAGCCAATCACACGCGTAAGCACACAAGTGTGCCTTTGGTTACTGCTCGTCAAAGGCGGATCAGACAACGAGTCGATTCCCGCGTCTGTCAAACTCTTTATTTTGAACTGTGATGCTGAAACTCCGTGGAAAGTGTATTTCAATTTTGGCGATAACTATTTACCTTATGCGGGGTCCTTGAACCCAACGTAGGGAGGGGCCTGAATATATAAGCAAAGACAGTAAAAAATGTATCACTATATTCGCAGAATAATCTACACATTTACATCATCGTGAATCGCCTCTAACAACATCGTACAGTGGGGCTGTTGGTTTTGTGGTAAGCGAACGGAAGCTCTCTGGTGGCGATCAGGAGGGATGTGGCAGCTGAGCCTGTCATGATATCCTCGTTCGAGCCCACACGGGCAGGAAGATCTGCCACTATCGCGGTGTATGCACGTGCCTCTCACCCCCGTCTTTTGGCGCTGCATCGGTCAATGGGCCGTCCACCACCGTGGAGGGGTGGGGCAGCAGCAGGACTAGAGGTCACCAGTGTCAGGTATATGTGAATAGTGTCAGGAGAGAGGTTGTCATCATCTTCCCCTATATCGTTCGCCTCACTAACTAGAAATTCGTGGTGACAATTTTTAGCACAGATCCTTCATTTTGCATAAGTTCTACTACCCAATAATGATAACCCAAACCAACGACGCGATATGTGAGAGAGGGGGGAGGGGATTAGGGGATGTATACCAGTATGGCAGGGGAACCTATTCCTCTTGGTTGGGTTACATCTATTGTATCTCATGCATAGCTGAACTCGGCATTCATATATAGCGAGTTGCGCACACTGGATTTTTTCTACTTAGTATTTTGTATTAGAGTATATCTTGCTAGTACATACGTATGTATGCATTATGCACTATGCAATATTCCCTCCTTATCACTGTTCTAGTGAGTGTTGCAGTGTATTTCCATTTACGCTCATACATATTATGAATGGGAAACAAATAGAATGGTTATAATTACATAAATAAACATTAGTTTGAAAGGTGTGCGTACTATATGTATGTGCATGTTGTGACTGGCAGTTTGTTCCTGGTCTGCATAGGATCGAGTTGCTACAAGTCATGGTCTCTCAACATGTGGGTTTCTGCACGCCAGGATTTGTCATGTCCATGTATGCCCTTCTACGGAATGATCCTACACCAAGATGGAAAACCTTGATGAGAAATTTTCAAGGTACTGCATACAGCATTCTGGTGTCAATATTCTTCCAGGCATTCTTTGGCATATAACCAATAGTTAATATAATATATTAATTATGTGTTATAACTACTTGATATTGATCACTTATCCAGAAAAACTTTTATTTAAGGGAACCTGTGCAGATGCACTGGTTATAGACCTATTATGGATGGATTTCAAGGACCTCATCCTGAATGAACTTCCACGACGTGACCCATGAGGGACAGGCTTTTCCGGGTGGATGCGGCCTGCTGCACAGGTGTGACTGTGGAGCTTAGTATACCTGCTAGCTCTAATCCACAATCCTGTAAGTTTGAATCAGATTAAGTCTCTACAGTTTCTTAATTCTCCTGTAGGATAGGGTTGTATGAAAATGAAAAGAATGAATGCGTCAATATGCACGCTTGGTGTGGTGATGTATTACAATTTCATTTACATAATGCTTCTTGTCGGTCGGGAACCTTGAAATATGACCAATACTTGTGCTACTTGTTTTTAATATCGGTCTTTCGAATAGTTGAAACTCGTTAGTTTTAGATGAGTAATATTGTTATTTATAGCTTTCTCTATAGTACAAACAACTAGTTCGTTTACAAAAAATTTTTAAAGCTACAAAAATTAATTGTTATTATATATAGCTTTTCTATAGTATTATTATAATTTCATACGTATGTATTTCACGTATACACAGGTCGGCACCCTCTCCTGATGTCTGATTTGACCTGTCACTTTTGACCCAAGCCAAGAGCCGCACTTTCCAGCAGAGCTGCAGGTGAGTTTGTAGTACTGCCATTCAAATCCATATGCATACTACTTATGACACATGTCTGCCTGTCTGCCATGTAATGTTGTAATGTGAAGTATCATACCACTAGCGATACCATATTTGTTCAGACTGAAGCTTATTTTTCTAGTATTTAATTCTGGAGGTTTATTCCAAAACATTGCCTCTATAATGTTAATTGTGGCGTCTCAAAGCAACCAGAATGTTTGTTTCGTATATTTAGATCAAATTTGAGACTCTAAATGCATCACGGAAGTTTCAAGGTCGCCCGTCGTCTGGTTTAGACCAGCCACACCTTGATGAGGCCCTGAAGCGTTAAAGCGGAACACCCGCACGCTGTCTTTGCCTCGGGATTTACTAAAAATAGGTACTACCAGTGAAACCTTCTGGCTAATAAATGTACTAACCAGTAAGAGTTAATTATTAGTGATGGGAATCGGCCTGGAATTTCATATCGAATTATTGGTTTCCTTAAACGATCGATAATCGTTATAATCGGATAATCGGTTAATAATAGCATAAGATTTAATTTAATCTTACTTTGTATATAACATTATACATAGCACTTCAATAATTATCATGTTTATGATCATGTATTCAACTCTGTGAGGTTGCTGTATGTATATCAATGTCTGTTCCTATTACAGTATTTAATCAATTTAAAAAGAAATGGTTTAAATGCCTTTATTAAAACATTAAAAGTTTTAACAGAAACATGATCTAAGACATGTTCTTTATTATAGTAAGTAAGTTGTTGTGTTCTAATAGTGTAGGCTGTGTAGCCGAAGTTAATGTCCTGCCAATGGAATATCCTCTCCCAACACAATGTGTAACAAAACATCAGGAGAGTAGATCTCATCTACGGATAACATCTGTGGACAGTGTCAAACCAAAACAAAGACACTGTCCAATTTGTCCATGTCTATAAGTACACTCAGTTACCGCTCTGACAATCAGAGCAGGTGACTATGTAACAGTACTGTGATTTCATGAAGGTGTCCTCTGGACTACACACTGATGCACTTCTACTTCGCTACCAATACATGTCTTTTTTTTTGGTATTTTTGATAATCGATTATTTGTTTTCATAATCGATTATCGAATTTAAGACTATAATCGATCGATTTTCGATTATAATCGATCATCGGGACATCACTATTAATTATTCTCATACATAGTTCAAAATTTTCCAACTACGTAGTAAACACTAGCACCTTCTCAGTATTATTTTATTATATATACAAGTAGATTTACATGCACGTCTTCGTGTGTGGAAGTTTTATTTTCTTTGAGAAACATGCATTCCATGATTTTTGTCTTGCAGTATTCGTATGGCTTTTTATGTGTTAAATCTAGTGTGGATTATACATTGGAAACTGTTTATAATCAAAATTACATGTAGGAGTGATAACAGTTTATGGTTTTTGAACAACAGCGCTGGACATGAAAACACAGCAGGCCCAACCTACTCATCTGATTGCTATTGGGCATCTGAAGGACCTTGCCCAGATTAAGTGGACCGACGCTGGTGTCACCGTGGGTGCGGCAGTTACCCTCAATGACCTTGAGAACCTGTGTCTGACCGCAATTTCCAAACACGCAGGTGGGCATAAATTGTGCATGATAGTATATAGGTTTGAGGTGTTGTAAAATCACGAGGTATATGCTGTCCTATATCTATAAGAAGTTTTTTTTATAATGCCATTAAAATATAATAATTTTAGACACTATAAGCTGATACTTGCCATATTACTATATAGTAATTAAGAAGGCTTTTAATTAATTCCACTTGCCATTAATTACTATTGTAGTTAAATTGTCTAATTATCTGGAGAAACACATTTAGAAGAATTCAAGGTGAATTTAACAGTGATTAGCATGTTTGAAATATTTTATTTTAATTTTTGTATGCGTAAAAGTTTGTATTGTTTTTACAGAGCATCCTTCTGATCCTAAAGTGCGAGTATTTCATGCATTGTTAGAGACACTACAGCGGTACGGATCCCAGCAGATTAGGAATGTCGTTGTAAGTCAGGTCAATGTGATCTAGGTATATATACTGTGTCATAGCTCAACATGTGTTTCGATTCTTTTATCTGTAAATCATGTCTTTGTACATGAACCATATGAAGTGCATGGGATACAGGATTGGGCATTCCATGTATTTCACGTATACTAAATGGAATATATAATGCAAAGATAATCAATACAGTACAAGTTGAGCTTTGTAAGGTCAATGCAAAGTAATTTGCCATCATTATAAGTTTACCATGCTACCTTCTGCATGCATACTTTTTGGTTAAGTGGCAGCTAACTCGTCTATATTGAAGCAGGGTGCAGGGTTTAGTTATAGATGCATAGCAACTGCTGTTTTTTTATAGCGGCTTGGAGGGACCATA